GAATCCCACTTGATCATGGTGTATGTATAATTTTTTTTCTTTTTTTGGTATGTTGCTGCATTCTGATGGCAAATATTTTGTAGAGGTTTTTTGCATCTATGTTCATCAGAGATATTGGCCTGTAGTTTTCTTTAGTTGTTGTATCTTTGGTTTGGGTATCAGGGTGATGCTGGCCTTGTAAAATGAGTTTGGGAGACTGACCTCTGTTTCCATTTTTGGAATAGTTTGAAGGGAATTGGTATTAATTCCTCTTTAAAGGTGTCACAGAATTCAGCAGTAAAGCCTTCCAGTCCTGGGCTTTTCTTTGTTGGGAGACTGCTTATTACTATTTCAATCTTGTTGCTTGTTATTGGTCTGTTCAGGTTTTCTGTTTCTTCTTGGTTCAGTCTTGGTAGTTTGTATGTGTCCAGAAATTTATCTATTTTCTCCAGTTTCAAATCTGTTGGCATATAGTTGTTTATAATAGTTTGTAATGATTCTTTGTATTTCTGTGGTATCAGCTGTAATGTCTCCTCTTCCATTTCTCATTTTTTTATTTGGGTCTTCTCTATTCTTTTTTTAGTCATCCTAGCTAATGGTTGGTCTATTTGGTTTAATCTCAAAAAAAAAAAAAAAAAAACTGTTTGCTTCATTGATCGTTTGTATCATTTTTTGGGTCTCTATTTCATTTAGTTCTACTCTGATCTTAATTATTTCTTTCCATATACTAATTTTGGGAGTGGATTACTCTTGTTTTTCTAATTCTTTGAGGTGCAGCATTAGGTTGTTTATTTGAAATCTTTCTATTCTTCTGATGTAAGCATTTACCGCAATAAACCTCCCTCTTACTTCTGCTTTTGCAGTACCCCACAGGTTTTGGTATGATGTGTCTTTATTTTCAAATCAAATTTTTTTATTTCCTGTTTAAATTCTTCTTGTACCCATAGGTTGTTCAGGAGCATATTGTTTATTTTCCATTTATTTGTACAGTTTTCTGAGTTTCGCTTATTATTAATTTCTAGTTTCAATCCATTGTAGTCTGAAAAGATACTTGAAATTATTTCAATTTTTAAAAAATTGTTGAGACTTGAATTGTGACCTAATATGTGGTCTTTCCTGCAGAATGTTCCATGTGCTGATGAGAAGAATGTATATTCTGTAGGTGTTTGATGAAATGTTCTGTAGATGACTGCCAAGTCCAATTGGTCTAAAGTGTAGCTTAAATCCTGTGTTTCTCTTTTGGTTTGTTGCCTAGATGGTCTGTCCAGTGCTGAGAGAAGGGTGTTCAGGTCCCCTACTGTTATCATATTGGGATCTATCTTTCCTTTAGACCTAGTGGTGTTTGTTTCATATATCTGGTGCTCCAGTGTTGAGTACACACATATTTGTGATTGTTATGTCTTTTTTGCTGGACAGATCCCTTTATCATTATATAGTGGTCTTCTTTGTCTCTTTTTGTGGTTTTTGGTCTTAAAGTCTATTTTCCCCAATATAAGAATAGCTACGCCTGCTTGTTTTGGGTTTCCATTTGCATAGTATATCTTTTTCCATCCCTGCGCTTTTAGTCTGTGTGTGTCTTTACAGGTGAAGTGAGTCTCTTGAAGACAGCATATAGTTGGGTCTAGCTTTTTAATCTAACTAGTCTGTGTCTTTGAGTGGGGAGTTTAATCCACTTATATTTAGGATTGTTCCTTTCATATTTGTGCCCATGATTTTGTGCCTTTGATATTTGTACCCACGATTTGTTATTTGTGCACTTAAGGTTGTCTGCTGGCTCTCTTAGGTTTTCTTCATTTTTTAAAATTATTTTTTCCTTTTATTGTTTGTCTTTGATGTGTGTTGGTTTTTTGAGTTGGCACGATTTAGTTTCTTTCTCTTTCTTGTTTGCATTTTTGTTCTACCGGTGGGTTTTTTTTTTTTTTTTTTTGTATTCATGGTAGTGATTATCATTTTTCAAATTCCAGATGCAGNAAAAAAAAAAAAAAAGTAAAATTTCTTTTCTGTAAAAGATAACTATAAACTAAGTTAAATGGACAATGATAACAAAAAAATATTAGTAGTACATATTAAAAATAGTTAAAAAGAATAATACATCTGGGCTGGCCCGGTGGCGCACTCGGTAGAGTGCAGCACTTCGGAGCGCAGCGGCGCTCCCGCCGAGGGTTCGGATCCCATATACAGACCGGTCCGCTCACTGGTTGAGAGCGGTGCGGGCGCAACACCGAGGGTTGCGATCCCGTTGCCGGTCGCGATATGGGCGCGACACTGAGGGTTGCGATGCCATTACCGGTCATGAAAAAAGACAAAAAGGAAAAAAAAAAAAGAATAATACATCAAAATGTGTTATAAATAGGAAAAAGACCAATTACTCAAAATAAAAATAGGCAAAATATATAAGTGATCATACACACACACACAAGATACATAAATGGCCTATAAACATATGAAGAAGTGCTCAACCTTGCTGGTGAACAGAGGAGGACAAGATGTCATTATTCTTTCACTCAACCCTCAAAATTTATAAAAGGTGTCAAAACCG